GCTCTAAGGTCCAAGATAGGGTTGTTCAACTTGAAGCCTATGTGGGGTTTAACTTGCAGCCCTCAGGCTTCTTCCTGGCTGTTTACTGCTGCTGGGGTCTCCAGTCTTCCCCTTCTTCCTGTGATTTCTGCTTCCTGCCTCTGCCCCTGATGGTGGGGTGGCACTGCCCATGGGAGCTTGGTGAGTCTTGTGTAAGCTGTGCAATGCGTAGCCTTCGGCTGCTTTTAAGTTGGATAGCCCCGGTCTAGAGCAGTGGTTCTCACTCTTTTTTGTACTAGGACCCATTTGTAAACATCAATGGCGAGTCCCAACCCACTGTCTCTCACTCCTGACCCTCTGCCTCCACCCAGGCCCCAGTCCCCAAGTGTGTGGGGTAGGAGGGTAGGTGTGAGGCATGCATGTGGGGGGCCCAAGCAGTCTCTTGAAGGCTGTAACTCTGCCAGCCTGCAAGGGAAAAGCCACTGTTTCCCACACTTTTCTCCTTTAAAGAAGAATCCATTTTATAAGTTTGTTGATCCGTTTTTAAAGTCATTCATGACCCTTTCATATATTCTTGTGACCCACTTTTCGGTCGTGACCCACAAGTTGAGAAACACTGGTTTAGAGTAATGATAATGCATTTAGTGGGAAAGATGATCACTGCTATGTTGTCTTGCAACTCAGTGGACAGCTAGCATTTGTGTTGTCAGAAGTGGCTCAGCTGATTTTCAAAAACTGAACTGAACTTCGCGTACATCCTTTTGCGTATTTTAGTGTCAATTGTACCTCTTGAGCAGGATTGTTAAATAAATGTTGCAAATGTACCACTTGAGGTTTGTTGGGTCATCTTCCCAGTTTACTTCAGTAAGATGGCTCAGTTTCGGCTGTGTCAAGGTTAAGACCTGAGGACATTCTTTGAAGATCAGATGCAGTACCTTTTTCCTTCCATCCCTTTCCTGCTAAACACTACTTCCGTTGTTGTATGAATCTGATGGGTGTCCTTTAGTTCATAAATGCTTACTGACGTAGTGTTGTAGAATATACAGTTCATTGTTACACTGGCATATTCAGTGCATCTTGGATCTCTTCTACATTCTTGACTGCTTTTAAGCATTGTGTAATAGTGTGTAAAATAAAATGGCATATGGGTTCAAAATGAAGTGGATGGCATGGCAAAGATGCAAAAAAGAGGAAATAATGTGTATGGAACATTAAGAGAACATACCTATACGGGAGCATTGCTCTAGCCTACTAAAAGCCTACTCAGGAAATAAATAGGAAAAAAAAAAAAAAAGAATGAATGCTGAGATTTGAAACTACTGTTGGTTAATAACTCTATTTAGTTTACCACCTTTTCTCCATAGTGGCATCCTTTCTTGTGTCTAGTGCAGCTATCTACATTTTATTATGTTTTCTAAGCTTGAAGTTTGGGCATAGTAGTATTGGGAGTGGCTTGCTACTTGTAGAAACTGCTCAGACTGATAGGGAAAAGGCTGTGACCATGGGCATAGCCATAATGATACATGTTCATTTAGTTCTATTGGCTGCACATAAATTTAGTTAAATGCACCCATGCTACCATCAAGGGTGTTTTCTTGAAAGAGATTTTATGGTACATATTTTGCAAGCTTAAGGCATAGCATAAATCTCCTGTTCCCCCTCTCCCCACATTTATAGCTTCGTTCTTGACTTGACTGGGATGATTACACTGATTCAGCTGTCTTGCTATATTTTACTACTTACTCTGTTACATATACTGCTTTCTATGAGCTGTCCTCCTGTGTTTTAGTCACAAATGACTAATGCCTTTATGTGGTCACTTAAGTAAAGGCTTGTCATGTTTTCAAAAATTTAGTTCAAGAAAGCAGTGTTCGTATATTTAGGAAGTAAATTTTCTTCCAGTAAAAGATGGATTATCAGTGGGGGAAATTCAGGATACCTGTTTACATGTAAGCATTGTACTAGCAGCAGTAATCCAACCTTCTCCACAAACCTATATTAGTGTGCTTCAACCCTGACATGCTGAAATCACTAAGATGTTAGAGCAGTGCTGGAGTACCCTGGGGTATGCCAGATCCTTTGTAGGGTGCCTGAGGTGTGGGGAGATCAGCAGATAAGCTCAGGCTTGCCTCTGCCTGAATGATTTCCCCGCCCACCCACACACTGCCCAGCTTTCTGCACGGTGGGAAGTCCAGTAATATGCAAATGAGTTTTGAATTGGGTTCTACTCAATTCATAAAAGTTATGGAGGGGTGCCTTGAGTCTGAAAAGTTTGAGAATTGCTGGGTTAGTGGGTCAATGTAGCTTTCAACACCCATTTGGAACAGGGTGATTAATCAAGTCTGCTGGAGTTTGGTAATTACCACACTGCAGCAGCCTCCAGTTTCTCATGTATCAGTGTCCCCGCACTTCAAAATGGCAACAGGGTTCTTTTATATAAAGTGCCCCCATTGTCATTTTGAAGCATGGGGACACTGATACACAAGACGCTCTGGGTGCTTTAATTAGAGTGGCTCTTGGAGCCACTCTTATTAAAACATGCCCCCCCCACATAGCACGTGTACAAACACCCAAATAGGTTTGCAAATTTTGGTGAACTTAATAATGTAGGCACCTGTTTCCTAAGTGAGCTGTTTCTCTATAAACCAATGGTTGGGGGTGGGGAGAGGGGGGCATCAATTTTAAGCTACTGTTTAGTGGGTTTTTTTTTTTAAATGCGAGTCAAAAGGTTCTATATCATGAGTCAATCCTGTGAGCTATATTGCTGCATCTATGCCTTCAGGCCTGATTATACTGTTTTCAGATTCTTGAATATTAAGTTTTGGTCAATATATATTATTAGTTTTTATGACACGTGTATTTGTGGGGTGTGTGCTTGTCTGAGATGATGGCTAAAATTACTTCACTTTTCCTGACTTTCTGACCTTTTTAAAATAAGATGATCTATTAGTGTTTTTTATTACCTTGTAATCTGTATTCTGAATTTATCTTTGGCTCATAGTTTATCAGGTTTTTTTTTCCAGTTGCAACTTGTAGCTGGTTAAAATTGTTAAACAGGAAGATTTTTCTGCCCAGGAAACTAAAACTAGCCAGGAGAACTTGGTCTCCATCACCCTTCTTCATCTCCAGAGTAAAATGAGATAATTGAGATTTGCTGCAGCAGATTTCCAAAGAACTCAAGTGATGCCTTCATGGTGAATTGCTCCTTCCTTTTAACATACTTCTGACTGTTGCTTAGCGAAATAGTACATGCTGATAATGTTTGGTGGCCTTTTTGTTACTAAGAAGCAATATATGAGTCATACATAAATATCTTGTTGCTTGTCTAATTACATTGGTAGCAGTCCTGGTTCTTTAAAATCAGAGATCGGACCTAATTTCTAATTTGCAGAGATTCTATCTCCTTGAAATGTTATTTTGCATCTGACTTAATAGAGCTATGATAAATGAATTAACACAGAGATTCAGACAGTCCTTTTGCTACTTAGCTCCAGGCAGTATCAGATTTGATCGAAGTTAGTGGTATGCACAGCTGATGAGAATGGCAGTTATTTTTTTTTTCTAACATCCTTCTTCAAAGTGCTTTTGCATTCTCTTGCCTGACTTGAGACTAACAGGGCTAACTACCTCTTTCTACAAAGAGCTTTTGTTTTGATATTTGCAGCACTCCTGCTGAGATCAGTGGCTTGGGTGTCAAAGGGGTTGATGAGGGGACCAGAAGGAATGGAGAATATGGTTGCAGTTCTTCTATGGACTTTGCATAACTTACACGTTCCAGAAAGTATTAGATGTTTCTTCTTCCCAATGTCAGGGGAAGTAGTTTCTTAACATGCCATTATTTGAAAATTGCTTGATGGGTTACGTATGAAGGGCTCTCTGTCCTTGAGTATACACTTTCCTGGAGCGGTATTACAGACAAAACAGTAGGAACTCTTTTTGCAGTTTCCATCATTTAATGGTTATGTTCTTGATGGTTTCCTCTAATATATTTGCTATTTCACAACCTGAATGTACTCCTGAAAGTGCTCTGTGAACTCTCTTGATATTTGACTTCATCATTTGATGTTGGTAGTATAAAGAATCATTTTTGTAATCATTATTTGGGCAAGAGTGGCTTACTTTATTTTGTGGTTTTTTATTTCTAGATTTTAAGGAAGATAGCTCTACTGAAAATATACTGAATGCTGACATGATTCAGATTGCAACAGAGCCTTAGAGGTTATCTCTTCTTACTGCTCCCAGATAGGAAAACAGTTTTGAGAATTGGGAGGAGAGTCAAAGAATCATTTGTAGTAAATTTAATTTATAGTACAGTACAGTTGCGTCATACGCGCATTTAACTTGTGCGAATTCAACTTTACGCGGGGTGGGAAGGGGGCAGGGCTTCAGTTTGCAGCAGTTTGTGGTGGCGGCGGGAGGTTTTGGCAGCGTGGTGGTGGCCCGGCAGCACGCAGCCATCCCCCCCGTGCTCCGCCACTGCCGCCGGCCGCACAGCTCCAAGCATGGCTCGGCGGCGGCGGTGAGAGGTTTTGGAGGCAGAGGCAGTCACTTATGCGTGATTTTCGCCTTATGCGATGACCTCGGAACCTAACCCCTGCATAAGTTGCGACATGCTGTATGTATGTGGAAACAGCTATAGAGGAACCATATTTTAATAGAGAGTGATCATATTGAAGGCTGAGGTGCATCTGTTTTGAAAACCATGTAGAAAACAATGGAACTTCTTTGTTAACGTGAATTGATGATTGATACTTTAGTATGTGCTTCATTCTTGGAGTTCTAGCTTCTTCTCTTAGCTCTCAGTCTTTGTAAAGCAAATAGTTACTCAAAAACATGTCTTCTGGATTGGTTGAATCAGGGCATGGGAAAGAACAATTTCTTGTCTGTAAATATAGTTTCTGTGTCTTAGATCCACCAATCCGGTAACCCCATTAATGTAGTTGCTGCCGGAACCATGGTGTGGCATGTAGGTTGCCTTGTCTTTCTAACAGCAATAGGAGTACGTAATTGGGATTTCGTTCAAGAAAGAAGTAGATACACCAAGCTGAAGATGATTGGCTGCTCTCTTTTAACAGACAAGTCTGAGAAGGAAACCCCATTCGAATCCCCTTTCATTCTGGATTGGTGGATCTGAAGCCCAGAAACAAAGTTTCAGGTAAGAAATCACCCTGTACTATATCTTATTGCTTCTGCTTAGTTGAGTTTTTCAGAAAACTAAATATCTTGCTTTTACTACATAACCATTTGAAATATCATAGGGTGACCAAATGTTAACTATTGATGTGAGTTTAGATTAAGAAAGGGTATGTTCAAAACATAAATGTTTAACTTGTTAGCAAGTTATCTTTTGCTCAGAGATGCATATTTCAGAGAGTTAGGATCTCTAAATTTCTTATGTATTGTGGAACTAGAAAGCAGTATCTACACACTCATGATCTTTAAGTAGCTAGCTGATGGGACTAGAGGCAGGGGAAAAACTAGACAATGCATGGTTCCATTTATAACATCTGTGTGTTTTGTCGTTGAGAGAGATCACAATTTGGAGATCTTATTGATGAGGGTCAGTGGCATGACACTAGTCTTCCATATGATTTCTGACTGAATTATATATTCGCTACAAGTCATAGTTGGACACTTAGTATCTTTTTATTCTAGTCCACACCAGTTTCCAGATTTGTGCTTTAACCTGTTTAAATGCAGTGTATTCAGTTCTCAATGTGAGCTTTTTAAACTTCAGTGAAACTTCATTAACTGAACGTTGTATAGGGTTCATTCTGTTAGTTTTTACAGCTGATTCATTAGCATTTTAATGTTTGGCTTTCAAGAACAACTTCCCATGTGTAATGGCAGGCTTATTTTAAGCTAGGAGGGCACGAACAGTCTATTTTTGCTTAATTGTACATGTCAGGTGACTTTTAAAAAGTATTGGTCTCCATGGGAAATTTTGAAATGCTGTTGAAAGGCTGACTTGCTTAGAATTGGCTTTTTAAAAATAGCTCTGGAAGGTATTTTTATGTAGAAGGTATTTTTATGTACTGTTTACTAGGGCTGTGCGAAGCTTTGGTCGCTGATTTGATTCAGCGGAGATTCAGCCGAATTTGATGGTTGTCTTCAAATCCAAATTGAATCAGGAAACCCTTTAAACTCTCTGAATTGATTCGGAAAGGTTCGATGATTCTGACCTAGATACAGCTTTAAATGTTTTTTCTACATATCTCAAGGTACTAGGCAGCTCGTGAATGCTGAGATACTGAGGCGGATGGAACATCTCATGGGGGCGGGGGTCCCCAGCGGACTGACTCAGTGGTTGACCCAGAAGTGGACCAGAAGCACTTCCAGTTTACTTCTGGGTGCGCTGCGGTGTGCATGGGGGACCCTCCCGCATCCCTGGGCTCGGTGACTGGTGCCTCCTGGGTCTGGGGGGCACCTGGGGTCTCCCCGTGGTCAATCGCCAAGCCGGGGAGTTGCGGGGGTCCCCCGCATGCTTGGCGGTGAACATACTTCTGGTCCACTTCTGGGTCTGCTGCTGAGCACGCGGGAGCCCCCAAGTTTCTGTGGGATGCTCCATTTGCCCTAGCATCTCAGCGTTCACAAGCCATGCTGGTATCTCAAGGTATGTAGAAAAAACATTTAAAGCTGTGTCTGGCCGAATTGCTGATTCTCTGAATTAGCATCAAATCTTCAGCATCAGATTCAGCCAAATCGAATTGGGACAGTGATCCAAATCAACAAATCAAATCACTCTCCCCCAATTCGAGCCGAATTCGAATCCAAATTGAATACGCCCCGTTTCACATACCCCTACTGTTTACACCAGGGGTGGGCAAAATGTGGCCCACGGGCCGGATGTGGCCTGCCAGGCCATTCTATCCGGCCTGTGGGGACCCTAAAATATTTAGAAAATTAATATTTATCTGCCCCTGGCTGCCTGTCATGCAGCCCTCAATGGCTTGCCAAAACTCAGTAAGCGGCCCTCTGCCCGAAATAATTGCCCGCCCCTGGTTTACACATTCCCAACACTGTAGCTTCTTCTCTTAATGTGCAGCAGATTCACAAGTCAATCTCCTTTTGATATTAATAGAAGCAACACGAAACTTCTTGGTGTGCTGAAGACAATATGCTCCTATAAGTGACCTAGCTAGTTTTTTAGCGTTCTTCCATTTTCAGTATTAGTCTCAATATTGATGTGCTGTAATCTAATTAGGTACATCTCTACTTTTGGATGATCTCTGTCTGTGCTCTTTTGAAGAGAATTATTAAAGTAAATTCTTAAGAAGGTGCTATTGCATAATGTTGGCTTTATTCATATACAGTACTTTCTTTGGTCTGTAGTCTTGTGTGTGTAGGTGCAAAATTCTGTTTGGGTTTACCAGATTAAAACATAAGTGGTTTATTTCCTCAAGCGTACCTTTAGCTTTTTAGCATCATTTTATTTTGACCTTCTTGGTTCTTTCCTGGTTAGCAGGAGGGAGTCCTGCATATGTTTCTTGCTATCTTCATCCTCTAAACTATGGAGAAGTGAAGGGAAATGTTTATTTTAACTCTGATTTAAGGCACATGTGTTACAATTTCTCTTATATTCAACAGATTTGAAACTGATGTTTCATGTACCCTGAAGTCTTTACCTGATGGATTTATATTGGAAAACGTAGACTACTTGTGGAATATTTGGTGTTCAATGTGATTTTTATCCTTGAAAATAATATTTCTTGAAAGATGAGAGAATTTTACTGGGAAAACGAAATATTTCTTCTTGCTACATGCAAACTGTTAAAAATGGGTTTTAATGCTATTTGGTTCTGTAATATATTGCTAATTGAAAACAAATTAATCAGTTTGTAGGTTTTTTAAATGATTTGTTTGATTTTTTTTTTTTTTTTTTTGTTGCTTTTGAAAGACTAAAAGGGACTGATCCTGTTGAAGTCAACATGCTATTTGTGTGTGTAAAACTAGCATGTGTATAAGTATTGAGATGTTCAGAGTCTAAATTTTGTGCAGCATTTAAAACTTAAATTTTATTTAATAGTAATAAAAAAAGCTTTTAAAGCTACATTTGAGAGAATTACAGTTGACATGGAAACATCGTTCATTGTTTGCAACCCAAACACTGCAGTGCTAAGAACATGAATTGAAACTATATATCTTAACATATGTAAAGTTGAGACTTTATGGCTGTGTCCAGATGAGTGTGGCTATGCAGTCTGGACACAGCCTGGACAGTCTATGCATGTCTGTTGTGCTGCATACTACGTGTTTAGTTGCGCTCCATGCTGCAAGAGAGCAGCACAGAGGGTTTTTTTGACCCCTCCACAGGTCAAAAAAATTTACAGAGAAAAAAAGTAAAGCAGCATATGCATGAGCAGTGTGTGCTGCTCAAAGGCAGAGTTGGGCTGCCCGGAGCCGTGCTGTGGCTGCTGGCCAGGCTCTGCGTGGCAGAATAGTTGTTGCTGCAGCCCTGGGAGGCTCTCAGGACCCCAGGTAAGGCTGCTGGGGCCAGTTGGCCCCAGCTTCTCTTACCCCATCCAGGGTAACTTACTGTGCACCAGAGGTCACGTGGCATGCATATTCCCAGGGGAAACATAGTGGCGACACAAGGTGTGCCGCTGCTAGTTGTTTCTATAAAGCCAAATGTCCAAACCACTTGTGGACGTGGACTGTGGGCGCAAACAGAAGTGCAGCTCCCAGCTGTGACTTGGAAGGATTTTTGCAAAGTATTCTGAGTTACAACTTTACACCAAGCCAAACAGAAGTTCAGTCTTGGTTCCAGGGGAGAGGGGAGTGGCTAGGAGCCTGTAGTCAGGTTCCCATAGAAGTGGCCAGGCTGTCTGCCAGTGCTTGCTGTTTTTAGAATGAGTGGGGAAAAGCAGCTGAGGGAGCTCATTCTTGGGGCTCCCTAATTGGTGCTGAAGGGTGGGGAGGGTGAATTGGAGCCCTTGCACCTCAGGGGAGGGGGAGGGAGGGAAAGCTGCAGTACATCTGCCCCACCCTCGGGGGGGGGGGGGGGGGCGCTTGCCCCCCCCCCCCCCAGACTGAACTCCCTCTCCTCTCTTTCCCCCCTCCCAGTCTAAAAACGGACAGGCTGGGAGCTGGACAGACAGAAGTTACAAAAGACTACATTTTGTAAGATTTGTATCCCATACTTCATGCATTTTTTTTAACCTGTTTGCAGCCGTGCACTTGTGTTTGGTCTCAGCTATAAACTGCTTTCTGTGGCCAGATCAGGTAAAAATTGTCACTTTTGTCTGCACCTCCTATGGTAAGGCAGGCAAGCTTCAGTATATATGCTTTGTTTACCTTAGACAAATAGAGCATGCCAGCACATGTTGGTTGGCCCGCACATTTTAAGTACCCTTTACTTTATAGCTTGAAATACATCTGAGCAATCCGTATCATGACTTACTTCCAAGACAAGCTTCAGCAATGTTTACTCAGCTCCTGTGCTGTACACATGTAGTTTGTCCCATTGCAATCCCAACTTCAGTTTTCCTTTCCATATTTCATGTTTTTTAGATCTGATACAGTATGGGGCACCTCTTGTGTTATTTCTGACAGCAAGAAGAAAGGATTTTTGCTTGTAAAAGGGATGCTAGATTTATTATAGATGTTCTTTGTATTGGAAAACACTACTTGATTTCAGTTAACCGTGCCTAAAGTGATGTGCATGGGATTGTGTTTTTTCTGAGTTTTCTTGGATCGTTATGAAAACAAGGTATTGCCTTGTATTTATCCCGCTGAACAAATTACAGTGGAGTAAGATTGTTATTATGCTTAAGAAAAATCATTTAAATATTGTCTCTGCTGAA